TGCGCGCCGGGCTCACTTTTCTACCGCCGCGGGCGAGCGGCTGGTGGGTAGGTCTTCCCGAGGATGAGGTCCCCCCCGGGTGCTAGCAAAGGGGCCACTTGGAACAGCCCGTTTGGCTGGGTTCGACCTCGCACTGGGGCGCACAGCTCCGGGCCTGGCCGCGCCTGGCTGCCCGGGAGGGTGAGTTCCCCAGCTGGCTCCGCCGGGCCCGCTGGGAGCTGACTCGGGGAAGAAGGCCCGGGGGTGGGATGAACGCACCCAGAGGTATTGTTCGCTACTGCTCCCCCGGGACCCCGTCCCCTCCGAGCCCCGATCGCCAAACACGCGGGGTGGAAGGACAGGAGCGCGCTGGCCTTAGCGGAGGACCTGGTGGGAGGCGCGCAGGTAAAACCCAGTGGGCTCCGCGAACTCCTCTCTCCCCTCGCGCCCCGCGGCGTCTGCTGTGCCAGCTTCACTCTGGAGTTAGGACGCTCACACGAGCCCCAAACGAAATGGCTTTCCAGTAGTTTCGAGTTTGTGAAGAGGTTATGTCCTGCCCAGTTTCTCTCTCTCTCTCTGCTGGTCTCCTGCCCTTTGTCTTTGAGTAAACGTGTACAATTAGCTGGTGGCGTTTCGGTCATTATAAAGACAAATTTCCATGTCTCTCTAGAGATTTCTAAAATGCATTAGTCCAAGGGCGAGAGTAGGGAGGGGTCTAAGATAAAACTGAAATACGGATTTCACTTAACTGGGCGTGAATATCCTCATGTTCTCTCTGAAAACAACCTGGAAAGGAATGAATGCCGGCTGCAGCTCGCCGGGAACCCGTTCCAGTAAATTCTTCCATGTTCCTGGCATCTTTCCGTCTCCCTAAGACAAAGTCTCAGCCCCCGCCCCCCGCAGGAGCCCCCACACTTCCCCCTAAAGCTTCTAAATAGTGATTCCTTATCTAACGTGGCTGCCAGGTTTATCTGAAAAGGCCCACAAACTCAGGCCGCAGTAGAATAGGGGTAATTTTGGTGTCTTGTTGCCCGGAACGAGGCCGGCGGTGAGGAAACTCCTTTCTTTGTATCTTTCCCAGATCTCACCCTTGATAAGAGCCGCCAGCCGCCAGCCGGCCTCGGTGGCTGGGTTTGCCTGAACTCAGGAGAAGCCAAGATGCGTGAGTGTCCGCCTGGCCTCCCCGAGGCTTTATCAAGAACATGCATTTGTGGTGTTTTCTTTTCTCTCAAGGAAGATCTCTAACTGGATTCCATCCCTTTTATTTTCATTGTGAGTCCTGTCCGTGTGTGTGTGTGTGTGTGTGTGTGTGTGTGTGAGAGAGAGAGAGAGAGAGAAATCGAAAGTTGGGTGCACAAATTGGTTGATCAGTTTACCAGATTTTTGGTTTTGGTTTTTGGTGATAGTTTCTAGTCTCTGCTGTTCTATGCATGGAGCCTTTTGTCAGCTGCTTTTGCAAAACTGGCCCTGGCTTCCCTGTATACGGGCATGTTTCCTGGGTAGATAACCAAGTTGACTCTAGGAAAATAAAAGAGATGCCAGTGTAGCACCAGAAAGTAAACAGGATTTTAACCGATCATATGCCATCATGCCGCTTTTATACCGGGGAATTGAACCACGGAAGCTGCCAGAAGCCAGAGGGCTCATGTTTGAAATTCACAAAGCGCCCTCCTTCCCACCAGCTACACACTCCGTGTGGCGTTGTAACCCCCTAAACGAATGAGCTGTGCCAAAGAATATTGCTGATGGTGAGAGCAGTTCCAAACAGAAGCTGGCGTGCCCCGTGGAGGAAAACCGTTAGTGCCGGGCAATGTCATACTAAAGGGAGGACAGTGTGTTTTGCCTGCTGCAGCCACTGGTGTTGTAAACAAGTATTTTGCTAGCAAGTTCCCAGGCCCATGGATGTGAAGATTAAGCAGACGCTGCCCCTGTCCAAGGGGGCAATTTGAGGGAACCCGATGATTATGTTGTTTCGCTCTGGAGTGGTGTCTTGCTGATACAGTTGGCATCAGAATCTGTTTGGATAGCAGGTACTAATTGTTTCCCTTCACCTGGAAGTTCCAATAGAATCACAGATTAGTCCCATTTCCTTCGCTGATGTGTGCATTTAATGCAGTAAATGTATCTGTAAAAAATTTCTGTGATGTATTTATAGAATATATCAAATAGTGATTAGCAATATTTCCCCCAGTATTTGGTCCCAGGAGCGACCTCTTGTGTTCAAAGGGGGGATTAGACCCTCTCTTGTCAAAAAAGGGACTCATTTTGACCTTTGAATATTCCGTGGGTTCAAAAATACATCCTTTAAAACAGCAGTGGTGTGGAGGCCCCGGTGCTAGGTGTCCAGCTGAGAAGAGGGAAGGAAGAATGGGAGTAGTTGTGGATATAGTTCCTGTGACTGCCAGGCCACCCAGGTACACTTGACAGTGTCTTTGAGAAGCTAAGATTTAATAAGTTCCTCTTGGTTCTGTGGCATATGCCCAGTGCACCTTCCAAAATGCAGCCAATACACCTAGAACTCCTAGGCCTGGATTGTGTGTGTGTGTGTGTGTGTGTGTGTGTGTGTGTGTTGTTGTTGTTGTTGTTGTTGTTGCTTTCTTTCTCTGCTTTACTTAAAATTGAAAAATTCCACATCAAACTTAATGCTAGATGCAAGTCCCTGAACAAATACCATGTTCTCGAGATACTTTTCAAAAAATCTAAATAGGTTTTGATTGCAATTGCAAAGGAGCATTACACGTTTAGGGTTTAATTCCTCCCCCAACAACCCCTGGCAGATAGAAGTGGATTTTAAGTTGGTTCCGTGGGAAATGATATACAGTGTGGGACAGCGCCTTTCCTACCTCCGTGAACCAAGAAGGGGACGAGAGGGGCTTTGGTCAGCTTTCCCTGATCCATGGCTTGGCTTGGGCACTCACTCCCGGGAATTGTTGTGTGTAGCCGCCATCGGAATCGGTCTGCAAGAGCAGAATCACAATTGGAGATGCCAGTTTCCGTAAGTCAGGTGTTCCGATAGGAAAATTACGTAACTGGACGATTTATATTTTCTAATATCCCTCGCACATAATTTGGCGTGTGGGGGGGGGGAGGGTGTCAAAATGAAATGAACATATTTTATTCACCTCAGGAAACAGGTATAGAATATATCTCATTCTCCTTATTTTCACTCTTTCTGTGTCGTCTAATCCTGTAGATAGAGCAGGACTGTATAAAAGCATCCGTACCTTAAATCAAGGCCAAGAGTCAGATAAAATTTTATGCGTTTTAAGGGAGTCGCCATTAACCATTTATACTCCACCCCGAACGCGGAGCTCAGAGCTCCTGTGTCTCTCTCCCAGCGTTATTGGTGGTGGCTCACTGAGGGCGAATCCAGAAAAACCGGGGCTCTGGTTTCAGAGAAAAAGGGAAGGGATCTCCTTTATGTGCCTTTGGGTCTGAAAGGATTATCTCTTCTTCAGCCCTGTTCCTTGTTCTGTTCTTCCTTTCTTTCTTTTTTTAGGAATACTAAGTAATGGTAATAAAGGCAGTTAACAACGACAACAAACCGGTAGTTGTGATTCTCACTTTATTGCCAAGGACTCCCGCGGCGACGGCGGTTTTGTTGAGTGTCAATCGCTTTATTAACCAGTTACAACGATCTGGGGGAGTTAGCAGGACCCAGCCCGCGTGGGTGAGCTCGGGCGGCTCCGTCCCCCGCGATGCCGGGCCCTTTCCCGGGCCGTGGAGCCGGGAGGCAGCGTCCGCGCTGAGGCCACAGACCCCCGAGCAGACCGAGGGCCGCGTGGCCCGCAGCCCCTCGCAGCGGGAGCTTGACCCGCGGGGGCAGAACTCTGCACCTCTCCCCAAACCCCGCTTTAAAATGGTGCTTTGGAGGCATTTATTCTGATTTCCCAAAGCGGCTGGCAGAGTCATGTGGAGCCTTTCTTTTTCTTTCTTTCTTTTTTTTTTTTGGAATTTTGGTTTTGTTCTGTGTTTTCCTTTTGCAGCCCTAGGTGCCTGGGACTTGTTAGCTGGACGGCGTTGCGCGGAGCCCAGGCTGAAGCGGGGCTGGAGCGGGGATGGA